CGCCTGCTCAGTTCCCGGCATCCACACTGTCTAACTGTTCACAACTGTCTAACTCCAGTTCCAGAAGATCCTGTTTCCTCTCCTCTGGCTTCCTTGGACACCAAGGAAGTACAGAAACATTTTGTAAGGTTCTGTCTTAAGTCACAGTTCAAACCTCCTGCTAAGAGAAGAGAGCCTTTGGGTGGAAGGAGTCCAAGGCTAGCCAAGGATAGACTCAGAGTTGTAGAAACTACTTCAACATGAAAAACACGCAGACTGCTAGCGAGGCTGTGTCTGGGGGAACCGGTGGTGAGAAGCACTTGTTAGAATCACTGGCAAAAGGGCTGTCTTCCAGAATAAATGAGGAGTCTTCCGGGGGGGAATGCCCAACTATGTTTCAACTTCCCAACTAAAGCTTTGGCTGAAAAACAACCTTCCCTCTACTTCCAGGTCTCCTGGCAGCGTGTTCTACAGAATTACACATCCGGATCCCCTTAAGAAACTAATGAGAGCCAGGTGTTGTGGCACATGTGCACGCTTGTAATCCCAGCACCGTAATCCCCAGAGGCAGGCAGATCTCTGTGAGTTCGAGGCCAGCCTGGTGTACAAACTGAGTCCAGTATAGCCAAGGCTACACAGACAAACCCTGTCTCAAAAAACCAAAGCCAAAACTAAAAACAAAACGATTTTAAAAATGATGTTCATGGATGTCATTACCCTGAAGAGTACAGAATATCGGTGAAGGAGTAAGAATTAGCCTTCTGGGGAGCTAGAGAGATGGCTCAGCGTCTAAGAGCACCGTCTGCTCCTCCAGAGGTCCTGAGTTTAATTCCCAGTAACCACATGATGGCTCACATCCACCTCTACTGGAATCTGATGCCCTCTTCAGATACAACACTCATACAATAAATAAATAAATGAAATCTTAAAATAAAAATAAGCCATCTGGAATGGTGGTGGTCAGGCAACTGTATACACACATGGAAAATTTACTGAGCAACACTGGAGGTGCATCTCAGTGGTAAATAAGACTTGAGTTTAATTTCCAGCACCCAAAAGGAAACAATAATTGGGCAACTTAACATAACATTGTTGCCTCTAAATTTTATTTTTTGAGATTTTGTGTATGAAATGCACAACATTTTGTGGCTGTTTTGCATGAATGTGTGTGTCTTCTTTCGGGTTTTGATTGCTGCTGAAACACCATGACCAAAACGCAAACTGGGGAGGAAAGGGTTTAATCAGCTCACACTTCCACATTGCTGTTCGCCAAAGGAAGTCAGGGCAGGAACTCAAACAGCGCTGGAGCCTTGGAGGCAGGAGCCGATGCAGAGGGCCTTGGAGGGGGCTGCTTACTGGCCTGCTTTCTAAAGCTTGCTCAGCCTGCTTTCATTTATGTATGTATGTATGTATGTATGTATGTATGTATGTATTATTTGACCTTTTGATCAATCACTTTACAGCCTGATCTCAGCCTCCTTCCTCCTCTCCCACCATTCCCCCTTCTCCTCGTTCTCGGAGAAGGGGAGGCCTCCAAGGGGCATCAACCCACCCTGGCACTTCAAGTTACAGAAGAACTAAGCGCATCCTCTCCCACTGAGGCCTGACAAGGCAGCCCAGCTAGGGGAAGAGGATCCAGAGGCAGGGACAGCCCCTACTCCAGTTGTTAGGGGACCCGCATGGTGACCAAGCTGCACATAGGCTACATCTGTGTAGGGGCCCTAGGTCCAGCCTATGCATGGTCTTTGGTTGGCTAATTTCTTATAGAGCCCAGGACCACCAGCCCCTCAGGGATGGAACCACCCACAATGGGCTGGGCCTTCCCACATCAGTAATTAAAATGCCCTACAGATGGATCTTCCTTCTCAATTGAGCATTTTCTCAATTGAGGTTCCCTCCTTTCACATACCTCTAGTGTTTGTGTCGAGTTGACACAAGGCCAGACAGCACAGTGTGTCTATGCCACATTCGTTTGGATGTCAGAAGAAATCAAGTCCCCTAGAACTGAAATTTATGAATGGTTGTGAGCTGCCATGTGGGTGCAGGAATCAGAACTAGGTGCTCTGCAAGAGCAGCCAGTGCTCTTAACTACTGAGCCAGTTCAGCAGGCTCACATCTGAATTAAAAAAAAATAAAATAAAATTAGCCATATGTGACTCGTACTCCTAAATCCTAGCACTTGAAAATGCAGCTCTGAGGAGCAGGAATTCAAGGCAAGCTCTTGGCTAGAGTCAGTTCTGTCCTAGACCATTTCAAACCATCAAACCATTCCAACACTCGGCAGAGGCAGGCTGATCAGTGGGAGTATGAGGCTATTCTGGTCTACATAGGGAGTTCTAGGCCAGCGGAGAGGCTACAGAGTGAAAGTCTGTCCCTAAAAAAAAAAAAAAAAAAAAAAAAAGTTAAAATTACCTGTAGCATTATGGGATCTTTCAACTGTTATCAATAGCCGGGTGTGATGGCTGTTATCCCAGCACTCGGGGAGGCAGAGGCGGGCGAATCTCTGTGATTTCAAGGCAAGCCTGGTCTACAAAGCGAGTCCAGGACAGCCAAGGCAACACAGAGAAACCCTGTCTCGAAAAACAAAAACAAAGCAAACACACACACAAAAATCAACTGTTATCAATAGACATTTGAGGAGGTCAAAATTCAATGGCAACCTCCTTAAGATAATGCAGTTAGTGGTCTAACTTCAGGAGGCTGAAGCAGGAGGATGAACGGGTTCTACTTCAGCCACATAGGGAGACTCAGGGAACAATCCATTCTACGGAATGGGAGCAGCAGGTTCAAGAACGGCGTCGACGCCTCTCACAGCCGCGCAGAAATGACCTGCCCAGGCAGCACAAAGGTCTCCAGTGGAGGACACTCTCCACACAGAATGCAAGCCGATGACGTCATCAAAGGGTTAATTCTAGGCAGGGACGGGGCGGAGGGGAGGGCGGGGCAGGCAGTTGTCAGATGTCGCCGGAAAGATAAACTGCAGTGAAGAGCCTCACGTCGGGGGGGACGGGGACGAGAGGTTGCCCACCCAGAGTGTGCTCCACAAAGCATGTTCGCCTGTCCACGACTGGAATGCCACACGCTTCTTCGCCTAGATTCTTAGCGGCCGGTGAGGTTCCCATTGGGAGCGTGGCGTGGCACGACGGGCGTGGTCTGGGCGGTGACGAGAGGGTTAACCGCCCACCGAGGCCGGGGCGGAGCAGGGGCGGAGCGCGGGCGGGCGTCCTGCGAGCCCCTCCGGAGCCGGAAGCAGTTGCGGGCCCGGGGCGCGTTCAGCCTACCCCCGACTGTGCTTCTGCAGGGGTCCCTGCGGGCTAGCGGGAGCCCAGCGAGGTGCGGGGGAGGGAAGGGGGGGTTAGGGACGGCAAGGGATGGTCCACGGTGAGGTCTGAGGGAGCGAGCCCGTGGGACACTTGGGGAGGGAGGGCGCGGCGCAGATGGGGTGAAAGCAGAGTGATGGGCTTGGGAGGGATCGGGGGACCAAGGAATTGGATACACTGTTGGGAGTCCCAGGGAAAAGATGCTGCGCCTAACAGTCCTTTCCCTCCTAGCACCACTCCAGGGAGACGATCTGGAGCTCAACTTTGGGAAGACGCCCCAGCAAACCTGTTCCGAGAAGCCCTTCAGCAGCTCACCTCATGGGCCAGACGGCCCTGGCAAGGGGCAGCAGCAGCACCCCCACCTCTCAGGCTCTGTACTCTGACTTCTCTCCTCCCGAGGGCTTGGAGGAGCTCCTGTCTGGACCCCCTCCTGACCTAGGGGTCCAACGGCGCCACGGCTGGAACCCCAAGGATTGCTCCGAGAACATCGATGTCAAGGAAGGGGGCCTGTGCTTTGAGCGGCGCCCCGTGGCCCAGAGCACCGATGGGGTCCGGGGAAAGAGGGGCTACTCGCGGGGCCTGCACGCCTGGGAGATCAGCTGGCCCCTGGAGCAGAGGGGCACACACGCCGTGGTGGGCGTGGCCACCGCCCTCGCCCCGCTGCAGGCCGACCACTACGCGGCGCTTTTGGGCAGCAACAGCGAGTCATGGGGCTGGGATATTGGGCGGGGAAAATTGTATCATCAGGGTAAGGGCCTTGAGGCGCCCCAATATCCAGCCGGACCTCAGGGTGAGCAGCTAGTGGTGCCAGAGAGGCTGTTGGTGGTTCTCGACATGGAGGAGGGGACTCTGGGCTACTCTATTGGGGGCACCTACCTGGGACCAGCCTTCCGTGGACTGAAGGGCAGAACCCTCTATCCCTCTGTAAGCGCTGTTTGGGGCCAGTGCCAGGTCCGCATCCGCTACATGGGCGAAAGAAGAGGTGAGACTTGGACTAGGTGTGGGGAGAGGATTGCCACTCTTGGCAATGGTTTGGGATGGAAACTCGCGGTCATTCACTCCCAGGTCTTCCTGGATGTGTGATGCAGAAAAGTCAGAGCCTCAGGTCTCCCTCAGCTGAGGAGGCAGAATTGGAGGAACTAAGGGAGCCTAATAAGCAGGACCTTAGAGTTTGAGGATGTCTGGCTGGAGGTGAGCCTCTATTTACCTTGCCTTCCTTCTCTCTCTCAGCGGAGGAACCGCAATCCCTTCTTCACCTGAGCCGCCTGTGTGTGCGCCGTGCGCTGGGGGATACCCGGCTTGGCCAAATATCCACTCTGCCTTTGCCCCCTGCCATGAAGCGCTACCTGCTCTACAAATGACCCCGTAGCACCACAGTGTGCTGGCACCTTGCCACCATCCCTATACAGTGGGGACAGGTGGAGAGGCATCGCTGGCTTAGACAACTTAAGACAGTGAAGCTGAGGGGAGGCGAGGCCGGGCCCTTCGTAATCCTTATCAGAGGGGCAAGACATGGAACTGATACTAAAGGCTGTGACGGCCTGGGACAAAAACTGTTTTTCAAGTGAAAAATAATGAGATGTATCGTCACAGAGTCTGGTTTGTTTTCATTTTCTTTTCTTCCCCCCTGCCCCCATTGAGTTCTGTCACCGTCTAAGAAATTATATGGAAATATGCAGTGAAGATGGCAAACCACAAAGATTGGGGCCAGGTTTTTATTTCCCTTAAAAGTAGGATGGTTCACAAACACAGCAGAAGGGCTTCGGCACTGTGGGGGAGGGGAGCATCCTGCCTCTTAGGGTAAGAGGATCTTGGCCTTAGCCTGAAGGGACAGAGTTGTTTCCATTCCTTACACTCCTCAGCCAGGAAGCCACCTTGGTGACCCTGTAATTCAACCTATTGTAAGTGGTGAAGGGAGTGGCCTGTTCCCAAACATTCCTAGGAGGTGTAAGGGGTTTGGGGAGATACAGGGTGGATTAGGCCACAAAATGGGGCAGATGACATCAGAAACTTGTGACTGGTAGGATTCCTGGGCAACCTAGTCCTGGCTTGGTAGGCGGGAAGAGATGGGCGGTGCTTATTGTTTGGCATTGATGATGTCCACAAATTCAGGCTTCAGCGAAGCACCACCCACGAGGAAGCCATCCACATCAGGCTGGCTCGCTAGTTCTCTGCAGGATGCTCCAGTCACAGAACCTGGAACAGAAACAAGATGGCTTGGTCAGGGATAGGCTGAGTACACTTAGGTCCCACCTCTCCATGGAAGGGCTCTCCTCAGTCTATCTTAGACCACTTCCACCTTGGCCACTCACCTCCATAAATGATTCTGGTGCTCTGAGCCACTGTCTCACAGACATTGCATTTCAGCCATCCCCGAAGCTTCTCGTGTACTTCCTGGGCCTAGAAGAATGAAGAAACAAGACTAAGACCCTTCCTGTTCATTCCAAGAGAGTAAGAACCACTGGTACCCATGCAGTTTCCAGAAAAGCCCTGGGATCAGAGAAGAGCAAAGCTCCAATCCCAGACAGGCCTGGAATGAACATCCTGGGCAAGTCACTCTCCTTGGTGAGTTTGGAGGAGTTCTGCCTCTAAAAGGGCTTGGCCCTGATGGGCTCCATAGCTGTCCAGGTCTATTGAAGGAAGACAGGCTGAGGGTAGGGCTCCTGGGCAGTTACCTGCTGAGGTGTTGCCACCTTGCCAGTCCCAATGGCCCACACAGGCTCATAGGCCAGGACGACCTTGCTCCAGTCCTTCACACCAGCTGCAGGACAGAGCAGAGAGAGAACAGTGAAGGGGGAGGAACTGTCCTGCCAAGTAGCTTCTAACAGTTATGGCCTATAGCCCCTGGTGGCCCCCTCCACCCCCTTTAAAACAACCGTGTGTGTACACATGCTGTGGCACACATATGGAGGCCAGAGGACAACTCGCAGAAGCTAGTTCATACCATGTGGGCTTGGGGGATCAAACTCAGATCTCAGGGTTGGCAGTGAGCATCCCTACCCACAGAGCCGTCTTACCAGCCCCTAGTGGCTTTTGAAGTTTGAGTTTAAGCCTTCTGTAGGAACAGAAGTGACAAGGACCGTGCAATTCACTCTCTTTTCCTAGTTCAACATAATCAGGCAGGCTGCATGGCTGCTGACCTCCCCACGCCATCTCTATGGCCCTCGCTAGGCTCAAAGGTCCCTTTCTCCAGAGATACCTGCGATGGCCTTGGTTTGCTCGAAAACAACGTCCTCCGTGACGCCAGCTTCCCTTTCGTCTAACTTCTCCCCAATACAGGCGATCACCCCAAGTCCCTCTGTAAGAGCATGGGCCACTTTCTGCCCAATCAGCTGTTGAGGAATAAATATGGTGAGACATCCCCTTGGATTAAAGCATCCCCTGTCTTCCCTGATGCTTTACTGACCTCATCTGACTCCCCGAAGACATGCCTTCTCTCTGAGTGCCCCAGTATTACCCATGTGGCTCCTAAGTCTTTGATCATGCCAGGGCTAAAACAAAGAAACAAAGTTCAGCAAGGAGCCCACAAGGAAGTTTCCCTCTAGACTCTCTCTGCCCCCATCTCACCTGATCTCCCCAGTGAAGGCTCCATTGGGTGCTTTGTAGCAGTTCTGTGCAGCCACGGCAATTTTGGGATCTAGCTTCTGCCTGGCGAAGTCGATGTAAGCAGAAGGGGGGGCACAAACCACCTCTGAGAATGAGAGAGATCAGAGAAAACCCTCACTCTGCAGGCCTGCGGGCATGGCTGCAACCTCTGGGTCCTACTTTCCTCCGTTTCTCAGTCCAGAAAGTTGACCTTTGTCCACTACACAGCCCAGGCCAGGCCTGTAAAAATACCAGAGGCTTCCTAACGCTCCTTGACAGGCCGTGGCCCTCATCCTGCCCTCTGCTCTTTCAACAGCTGTGGCTCTGATTTCCTCAGGCTATTCTGGGAATGGGCACCTCCTAGACTCAGCAATTCCCCAGGTGCCAGCCTTTTTCTAAAATAGCCCATCCCCACTTCTTCAAGCCGGCAAGGATTTTTTAGCCTAAGGAAAAGAGGCCAACTCCTGGAGTTTGTATTGGACTCTTCGGGAAATAAATGCGCAGGAGATACTCCCGTCATTCTCGTGGCTCTCTGGTTTAGGTGGGTAAGAGGCGGAAAGATGGAGGACAGTGTGAGCTACTTTCAGACTGAGGAGAGCTGTAGGACTGTTTTTCATTCCGCAACCGCTCAGCATGTTTGGCAGCTACTCAGTCCGGAAGGTGGAAGGCAGGAACGGCCCAAGCTGTGGAGGGGTAGAGATGTAGGAGCCCCCAGCTCAGAGGCCGAAGCCAGCGGCGGCGCGGGGAGGAGTTCCGGGCTACGTGCAGAGACGCACGGATCCAGAGGCCCGGGGGCAGGTAGCCGAGGGCCTGCGCAAGCTCAGCTCCCTCCCTCACAATCAGGGGGATACGCGCCACTTTTCTTGATTAGCCAACCGGACACTGGTTCCGCTTCTTAACCCTATCCCTTAGCTCCTGTCCACTGCCCAGGCGACCTTCCTCCCGAACCCAACCCCCAGCCCAAGAAGAAGCCCTTCCGGGCCCCACAGGCCCAGGGAACCATTTAAATGCCTTTCCCCCTCAGCACATCTCTGTGCTGCCCGGACACCAAATGGCTGTTGTCCCTAGGCCGGCCAGCCAGGTCCTCTAGGACACTGAGCAGGTGCTGCCACGCCCGAGCCCTCCCCACACCGCCGCTCCCAAACGGAGCTCACCAGTGTCTGCCGGCAACTTGGCCGCGTTCAAGGTGCAGATGAGTTCTCCTAGGCACTTCTTCCTTCCGTTCATCTTCCAGTTGCCCCCAACGAAGAACTTCCTACAGGGCGCCATTGAGGCAGGACTCTGTGCCTGAAGGTCAGCCTGAGCACGTTTCCTCGGCCACTGGCCGGTTATATAGAGGGCTGTGAAACAGAACCCCTCCTCTTCCCCGCCCTCCGCCATGGTTAGCCCGGCCCCTTGCTGTTGGCCCGGCCCCTCCGCCCCTCCACCTCCGGATGTTTCGAGGTTCTGACGTTTCTCCTCTTTTGTAGTAACGTTCTAGGGGGGTCCGACGGGAGCTCAAACGTCCCGCCTCCCGCCTAAGTTGCTCTACAGTTGAGATGTTGGGCCTCGCGCTCAGGGAAATCAACTTTTGAGACCGCAGAAGACCAAAGGGCTTCCCTGTGGAGCTAGCAGCAAGCTAGCCACCCTGCGGCTGAGAGCCTTTCCCATGGAGCACAAGGCAAAGCCATGGTTGAGGAGCCCATCCGGCAGTCACAAGAGAACGGGCCCAAGTATTTCACAAGGTCGCTGTTGATTACCAGGCCTCAGTCCTTACAGTTCTTGGCCAAAAGGAGCAAAGAGTGGGATTCTGGTGTGTGAGAGGGGACAGAGGCAGATGGGCTGCAGACTTGTAAAGCCTGTCAGCCAATACTGGTATGGACTGCCCACCCCTTGCTCTACACCTTTTATTTGTCCAGCAACAGTGGGACCAGAACAATTACATGTTCAGCAGTGGGGGTGGGGTGCAGCCACTACTATTTCCCTTTATTCCCCTTCTCCACCTCAGTTTTCTGAGCACTTCTAGAACTAGAGACAAGAGAATTGCCTGGGCTGGAGGCACAGCAAAGGACCCCAGTTGGGCCTTTCTGAACCCCGCCCCTCCAGTAATTTTCCCCAGAAGTTAAGTCTCCACTAAAGAACTGAACAAAACCAGTCAGTCATTGTACTTTTATTCACATCATGTATTTTGGCATTTTTCCAGAGGACCGAAGACAGATTGGGAGGCTGACGCAGAAGGGCAAAGAGTGTGTGTGGGGTGTCCCTAATTTCCCTCATATCCTTCTTTGCCCCACCACAAGGGAGCAAACACATAAGGGGAAGGGAGGCACAGTCGCTCCCTCCCCTGGAAAGATGCACAAAGCCACACCCACACAGACAGAGACCCCTCCCCACCCCAGGGGTTGGGCCATCACAGAGAAGCAGAGCACTGTGGATCCAAAGGGCAAGGGAAGGAAGCAGCGAGGTCCCATTGTGGACAGGCAGTTGGCCCCTTCCTGTCCCGTGCCTGCTCTATCCCCAAAGTCTACTGAGTAGCCCTCCTCTTTGCTTGGCCATTCTCCTATGGCCTCTAGCGCTTTCCTGCTGCTGGGGACAAAAAGAAAAAGGGTACAGAGCAGGGGGCTGAAGTCCATCCCTCAGCCAGTCCCTTATCCAGACGGCCTGTCCCCTGCCTGAGGTGGTAAGGGCTGAGGGCAGGCTCTTAGCTGGCCACTCTCTCGTAGAAGTAGATGTAGCCCAGGTCCTTGGGTGGCTTTTCTGAGGCACACACTTTCTGGTCATTGTAGATCACCCATCTGGGAAGTCAGGGAAGGGACAGAGAAGGATGAAAAAAGTGGGCAGTCTGCGTTGCATCATGCTCCTCTCTCAGGCACAGACCCTGAGGTGCTTCTGGGGAAGGACCTCAACTTTTACTCTATGCTTAGATCCCCAAATATACAGTCCAGCCAGCAGTCTGAAAGGAGCTTCAAAATCTTGTTAAGGGCTATTGCTCCTGTTTGATGTCTTCAGATGTTTATTTATTTAGAAGTAGAGTCCCAACAGCCCTGGCTGTCCTGAAACCTTATGTAGACCAGGCTGGCCAAAAACTCGGAGGTCTAGCTATTTCTGCCTCCCCAATGCTGGGATTAAATGTGTGTATGACTGCATCTAGCCACTTTGTATTTGTTCATTTGCTTTGGTTTTGGTTTTTCAAGTCAAGGTTTCTCTGTGTAGTCCTGGCTATCCTGGAACTCTCTCTGTAGTCCAGGCTGGTCTCGAACTCAGACACCCACCTGCCTCTGCCACTGAGTGCTAGGATTAAGGGCGTGCACCATCATGCCCAGCCAGATTGTATTTTCAAACATTACAACTATTTATTTTGCACTAATAAGCACCTAAACCATGGTATATACAGAAGTCAGAGGGAAGTTTTCTGCTTCTGGGAATCTAACCCAGGCTGATAGCAAGTGCCTTTACTCAATGGGATCTTGTCAGCTTAGATTGTATTTTTACAATCATCTTCCACCTATTCCTGTGGGTGAGCCAAAGAGACTGTTTTCTGTCTTTCCTTAAAAAAAAAAAAAAAAAAGAAAAGGATTTATTTTTAAAATGTGCTTGTGTTCAGAGTGTGTGCACATGAATACAGGTGCTCATGGAGGCCAGAAGGTGTCATCCCCTGGAAGTAGTTATGGATGGTTGTTAGCCTCCATCTGGATGCTGGGAACTGACCCCAGGTCTTCTGTAAGAGGGACAAGTGCTCTTAGCCAATAACATCACTATAGCACGCCCCAACCTTTTTGGAGACTGGGTCTCATGTAGCACAGGTTTGCTTTAAACTCATTCACCAGGCAGCCAAAGATGAGCTTCACCTACTGGTTCCCCACCTCACCTCCAATGCTTGCACCGCAGCCATAAGCCACCACACACGGCTACTGACCAGCATTTTCACTGAGTAATTACAGTCCCTGCCACAACTAGTTAACTTTACTGTACCACAGGCAATCCATAAACAAGCAGATGACTACGTGCCAGTAAAACTTAGTTTACAAAAGCTGACAGCCAGATTCAGTCCTGGGATGTGGTTTGCCTATCCCTGTGGGGAGGCTTTTTGTTTTTTGAGACAGGGTTTCTCTGTGTAGACTTGGCTATTCTGGACTCATTTGTAGACCAGGTTGGCCTCCAACACACAAGAGATCCACCTGCCTCTGCCTCCCAGAGTGCCGGGATTACAGGCGTGTGACAGTGTGCCTGGCTTGGGGAGGGGAGGTATTTTCTTTCCCTGCCTTCTCCCTCAAATATTCTAGGGGCTTCCAGGGTGCCCTTCCTCGATCCCACCCATACCTCTTCATTCACAGTGTCCACTGCTATCCCCTTACCTGCCTTCCTTCTTGATGTGGCAGACATAGTGACCACACATAGTAGAAGTGCCCATGTGACTAATGAAGGCAAACAGCTGATACTCTGGGGAGGAAGAGAAAGATAAAGCAGAGGAGAAACAGAAGGGATGGTACTTAACAGCTCAAACTCAGAACAAGAATTTCAGGGAACATGGGCAAAGGGCATTTTAGCACCTGGAATTCCACCCTCATAGGCCCATCAGAGACAGAGCTTCTGACTCCTCAGACTGAGGAGAGCACAGCGCTAGGAGGAGGGGCTAATACAGCAGACGGCCTCAGGCTTGCCCTGATTCTTGGGGACACTCACTTCCAGGACCATCCCGGACTTTAGGTCCCACTGGCACAGACTCAGAGATGGAGTCAGCAGCTGAGCGTCCCTCTGAGATGTCCATAGCAGCTTCTGCATCTAGGTCGTCAATGTGACTAAAGATCCAGTCTACAGCCCGCTCTAAGCTATTGTTCTTGGAGAGAAGGGAAGTGTTACGTTTCCTAACGAGTCAGGCAGGCACACCACACTGGACGTCACAGTCACAGTCAAGGGGCGAACAGCTTCAGCCAACTACATTGGCTTTTGGTACTACTAACCAAAGGTGTCACTGAAACCTCAACCCCACCTCCACTTTCCCTCATGGATTCCAAGTCCTTAGCTGAGGCAGCCCATACCGTGGCCCGCAGAGCTTTCAGGGCCTGGTCCCGCGAGAAGCCCATGGAAACAATGGTGGTCACACAGTCCTCTGGTGGGGGATCGGCTGCTGCACTTGTAGAGCCAGGACCACTGGAGCCAGGCAGGATGAGGGGATTTGCAAAATCTGTGGATGGGGGAGGGATGAGTGTTTTGGGGATGGATGGGGGCCCTGCCCCATCCTGCTACCCATCTCTGCCTACCTGGATCATCCATGTGTGACATGACCCAGTTCATGGCTGCCTCAGCCCCACTGTTCCCTGTGTAGTAGACAGCTTTCCGGCAGGCATCCATAGGGAAGCCCATTTCCACCAACTGTATGATGACGGATTCATCCAACATGGGTGCTGTGGTAGAATGGTAGGTACTCTTGACTTACTGCTACTGTTTCTACTTGTTGCTTTAGCCTCCCACATGGCAAGCCTCTAGTTTTCCCAATTACCTATCACATGCTTTTCTCTTCTACAGACAGGCATTTTGTACCAGAACTAAAAATAACCACAAGCAAAATGTGGACCCAGTATCCCAGAGGTGATGGTTTTCTGACATTTCCAGAGCATGGTATCCTCCCCCTCTCTAACCCACACGGAGGAACTAACAAAGATTCAGAGGCAATTAGCCAGTGCTACTGACATCCATACTAAGAATGCAGCTAGGAGTATCCCAGCCGCTCATCACATCCAACAAGGGTACAGAGGAGATTTGAAAGGGAGGACAGGAGAACATAAAGGGGGAGGGGGATACAGAGAAGCCCTCCCCCATCAGCAAGGGAGAGAGACAGGCAGGAAGAAGAGTCACTAACATGTCGGAGAGGAGAAGTGAGGGGAGCAGAAGGAGTCTTCGTCTTCGTTGCCATAGAAACCAAGGCTACCTTTGGGCTCATCCGGAGTGACCAGGGGTGGGGCAATGTCAGGCAGCTCCTCCTCTCCCGGCTGCAGCCCTGTGCCCCTCAACTGGGAGATGTCGAGCTCCTCTGGCATCTCAATGGACACATCTGCATGGGAGGAGGAAAAGGGTCTCTTGCTCACCTGCAAAAGCACAGGGCACCTTCAAGCACCTGCCCCACCTTTTTCAACTGCTCTTAGGACAGATGTGGAAGTACAGGAGACAGGGACCTATATTCTAGCCTGAAATCTAGCACCATCAGCTTGAACCAGGCAACAGGCCTCTGACGTCAGACAGAGTGTCTTATACTTTGGAAGGTCTGTTTCCTTCTCCAGAAAAATCAAGATAAATCAGTAGTGTCAAGCTAGAGCTGGGATATAAGACCTGCTTCAAGATCATCACAACAAAAA